GTCCTCGTCGTCGTAGTTGGCGTAGTAGTCGTAATGGGCGTAGAAGCTAGTATTAGTAGTATTCGTAGCAGCAGTCGTAGCAGTAGTAGTAGTAGTGGTAGTAGTAGTCGTCGTCGCCACATAGTAGTGGTAGTCGTAGTAGTAGTAGTAGTAGTAGTAGTAGTAGTAGTAGCAGTAGTAGTAGTAGTAGTAGTAGTAGTAGTAGTAGTAGTAGTCGTAGTAGTAATAGTAGTAGTAGCAGTCGCAGTAGCAGTCGTAGTAGTAGTAGTAGTAGTAGTAGTAGTAGTAGTAGTAGTAGTAGTAGTAGTCGTATGTGTAGTAGTGGTAGTGGTGTCAGTAGTAGTAGTAGTAGTAGTAGTAGTAGTAGTAGTAGTAGTAGTAGTAGTAGTAGTAGTAGTAGTAGTAGTAGTAGTAGTAGTAGTAGTAGTAGTAGTAGTAGTAGTAGTAGTAGTAGTAGTAGTAGTAGTAGTAGTAGTAGTAGTAGTAGTAGTATGTGTAGTAGTGGTAGTGGCGTCAGTAGTAGTAGTAGTCGTAGTCGTAGTAGTAGTAGTAGTAGTAGTAGTAGTAGTAGTAGTAGAAGTAACAGCAGTAGTAGTAGTAGTAGTAGTGGAAGTTTCGTCGTAGTAGTAGTCGTAACAGTAATAGTAGTTCCGTAGTAGTAGTAGTAGCAGTAGTAGTAGTAGTAGTAGTAGTAGTAGTAGTAGTAGTGGTAGTAGCAGTAGCCGTGGTAGTAGTAGTAGCAGTAGTAATTCTAGTAGTAGTAACAGAAGTAGTAGTCGCAGTAGCAGTAGTACTCGTAGTCGTAATCGAATCGTAGTCGTAGTAGTAGTAGTAGTAGTAGTAGTAGTAGTAGTAGTCGTAGTCGTAGTCGTAGTAGTCGTAGTAGTAGTCTTGGTAGTAGTCGTGGTAGTAGTAGCAGTAGTCTTAGTAGTGGTAGTATGAGTAGTAGTAGTAGTAGTAGTAGTAGTAGTAACAGTAGTAGTACTAGTACTAGTACTAGTACTAGTACTAGTAGTACTAGTAGTAATAGCAGTAGTAAAATCAGTAGTAGTAGCAGTAGCAGTAGTAGTAGTAGTAGTAGTAGTAGTAGCAGTAGTAGTAGTAGTAGTAGTAGTAGTAGTAGTAGTAGTAGTAGTAGTAGTAGTAGTAGTAGTAGTAGTAGTAGTAGTAGTAGTAGTAGTCGTAGTCGTAGTTGTAGTCGTAGTCGTAGTAGTAGCAGTGGCCGGAGTAGTCGTAGTCGTAGTAGTCGTCGTCGTCACAATCGTAGTGCTTCACGCGAGGGTGCGGACCAACACGCAAGTTGCCAAATGATTCCGACATTGCTTTAGAAAGGAGCCTTGGCCTTTCGATGTTTTTTTTGTCGACCCTGGTGGTTCTCGTGCTGGCCGTCGTTGGTCTGAGCTGTGTTGGGGGCGAGAGCAGTGATGGAGGGTAGATAGAGGAGAGAGCAGGGGAACGGGAGGGGGGAGAAGGTGAGGATGAGGGGTTGGAGGGTGTTCCTTCCCGTCCGCGCCGCCCCTGAGTGGGTAGAGGGGGATGGTGATGATGCTGAAAAGGAGGTGGAGGAGGAGGAGGAGGAGGAGGAGGAGGGGGAGGAACAGGAAGGACGTGGAGCAGGTGAAGGAGAGCGCGGAGGGATTGGAGGATGACGAGGGAGGAGGAAAAGGATGCGGGAATAATAGGGTGTGGGAATGGAGGGAGATGCGGACGGAAACTTGGCATCGCTCCGACGTGCGCATTTTTCCTTCGGCGAGGGCCATCGAGGAGCATCCTTGATCATTTGGCGAAAAAAATCCACGCACGACCCCAACAAAAACAGAGGGAATGGACGTCCGAGCGATGGCGAGGAAAGGGGGGGCATGATGAGACGCAGGCCGCGGAGGAGGACGCGGAAGACCAAGGCACATCCAGGATGTATCTCTGATGTTGCTACGAACCTTGCCGTCCAAAGCGTTCTTGCCATACGAGTCCCCGCAGGCTTCCATGCCTCTACGGTTTGCGCCTTGCAGCACGAAAGCCCCACAGGCCTACCATTCAAGCGGTGGCCCCGTCCCGCAGAGGAGCAGACCTTCATATGTCTAGTGACATTTTTTTGCACAGGGCGGGATGGTTAAATGCAAGTGGGTGCCGAGCGAACGCTCGTTTTTGTTATTCCTTTTTTCCCCTAAAATGGACCACGGCATACCCGTTTAGTTGGTTTACCTCTTCTTTTTAAACAAAAAAAAAAACTGTGGTCATGTAAGTCCAGGCGAGGGCATCCCTCCACCCGTGTAGCAGTTGCACACGTTTGAACACATGCGCGTCCCAAGCTAAGACCTGCTTAAAAAGACTTAGCGTTTCTCCATCCTTGTTACCGCTGGAGTTGTTCAAGAATCTGACGAGCGTTGCTAAAGCGAGGGCCACATTTTGGACACGCTTGGACGCTCATCTGTGCAGAATTTGTAAAGTTAAATCTGACGAGCGCGCTCGGTGCTGACGCGGTTGCCACGTCGTGGAAATGCGACCTTGTCGTCTCCTGCCCTTCATACGTCTCCCCCCTTGCCTCCTCTCTCCCCCTCATCGTCCTAGCTCTTTCTGCCCTCAACCGCATTTGCCTCGGTTCTAGGTAATCGCATCCTCTTGTAGTTGCAGCCATGGCGCGCACCAAGGATCTTTGAGGAAGCGTGCTTATATTTTATGGAAAGCCAGGGCAGGGGTTGGGACCACCTGCTGCACCGCCTCCTCCTCCTCCTTCGATGTAGCCGGATTGCATTGGCTAGTGCAACATGGTTGGTTCTGAATCTTCGGTTGTAAGCAGGTCTTGGAGAGCTTCACGCTTTGCGATTGATATCGGTATTTCAGATGTTCGTCGTCGTCTTCCGTAGAACGTTGTAGTAGTAGTTGTAGTAGTAGTAGTAGTCGTAGCAGTAGTAGTAGTGGTAGTTGTGGTAGCAGTCGTAGTCGTAGCAGTGGTATTCGCAGTGGCTGCAGTAGTAGTCGTAGTGGTGACCGTGTCAGTCGCAGGTAGTTCGTAGTAGTCGTAGTTGTAGTCGTTGTAGTTGTGGTTATACTACTCGCCGTAGCCATGGAAGTAGTCGTAGTAGTAGTTGTTGTCGAAGTCGTAGTAGTAGTCGTAGTAGAAGTAGTAGTAGTAGTAGTCGTCGTCGTCGTCCTAGTAGTAGTCGTCCTCGTAGTCGTAGTAGTAGTAGTAGTAGTAGTAGCGATCGTCGTCGTAGCAGAAGTAGCAGTAGAAGTGGTCGTAGGAGTAGTAGTGGTAGTAGTGTTCTTGGTAGTCGTAGTAATATTCGTAGCAGTCGTATTATTATTAGTAGTAGTAGTAGTCGTAGTAGTAGTAGTAGTAGTAGTCGTAGTAGTAGTAGTAGTATCAGTAGTAGTATCAGTAGTAGTAGTAGTAGTAGTAGTAGTAGGAGTAGGAGTAGTAGCTGACGTAGTAGTACCAGTAGTAGTAGTAGTCGTAGTAGTAGTAGCAGTAGTAGTAGTAGTACTACTTCTAGGAGTAGTAGTAGTAGTAGCAGCAGTAGTAGTAGTAGTAGTAGTAGTAGTAGTAGTAAACGTAGTCGTAGCCGTAGTAGCAGTCGTAGTAGCAGTAGTAGTCGTAGTCGTCGTCGTAGTAGTAGTAGTAGTCGTATTAGTAGTAGTAGTAGTAGTAGTAGTAGTAGTAGTAGTAGTAGTAGTAGTAGTAGTAGTAGTAGTAGTAGTAGTAGTGATAGTAGTAGTCGTAGTAGTAGTAGTAGTAGTAGTAGGAGTAGTAGTAGTAGTAGTAGTAGTAGTGATTGAGAGCGCAGTCGTAGGTAATAGTAATACTACTAGTAGTACCAGGGGCAGTAGCACTAGTAGTAGAACTCGTAGTAGTAGCAGTAGTAGTTTGGGTGGTGGCAGTGGTAGCCGTGTTTAGTATTGATACTAGGTTTAGTACTAGTACTAGTAGTAGTAGTAGTAGTAGTAGTAGTAGTAGTAGTAGAAGTAGTAGTCGTAGAAGTAGTCGGAGTAGTAGTAGTAGTAGTAGTAGTAGTAGTAGTTGTAGTAGTAGTAGTAGGAGTAGGAGTAGTAGTAGTAGTAGTAGTAGTAGCCGTAGTAACATAGTAGTAGTAGTCGTCGTAGTCGTAGTCGTATTTGTAGTAGTAGTAGTAGTAGTAGTAGGAGTAGGAGTAGTAGTAGCAGCAGCACTAGTTGCTGCTGTAGTAGCGCTGTTGGTAGTTTTTGTCGCAGTAGAGGTAGTAGTAGTAGTAGTAGTAGTAGTAGTAGTAGTAGTAGTCGTAGTAGTAGTAGTAGTAGTAGTGGCAATCATACTAGTAGTAGTAGTAGTAGTAGTAGTAGCAGCAGGGGTAGTAGTAGTAGTAGTAGTAGTAGTAGTAGTAGTAGTAGTAGTAGTAGAACTTCCAGCAGTAGTAGTTGCAGTCGTAGGAGTAGTGTAGCAGTAGTAGTAGTAGTAGTAGTAGTAGTAGTCGTAGTAGTAGTAGTAGTAGTAGTAGTAGTAGTAGCAGTCGTAGTTGTTGTCGTCGTCCTCGTCGTCGTCCTCGTCGTCGTCGTCACCGTCGTCTTCGGCGTAGGCATCTCACAGGGGTACCATGAGAGGGCTCTATAGTTCTATCGATCGATCCCTCTTCTTCTATTCCCTTTCTCTCTTTATGTTGTCCTAGGACATCTCGACGCTTTGAGTTGTTCAACGCTTGGTCCTAGGACCTCTCGAGCATTACCCTGGGCCGGCTTTCCATCCTGAGTCGTGTTGCACATTCTTGAAGGGCCCGTTCTGTATCAAGTGTTGAAGACGTGGGAGGTCTGGGTTTTGAGCCCATCCCTTTGTGATCCTATCCCTTGGTGGTTTGATGGTTATAACTCGGGCTTCCGCCCGCGGTTCAGGACGATCCGGCCCTCCCCCCCCCCCCGGAGTCTCAGCCACTTGCTGGAAGGTATCCCGAGGCTCCAAAGCGTGACGAAGGCGCTCGAAACCCTCAAACCTCGTCGGTCTCAGCGAGCCCCTTTCCTCCCACCCCGGCCAGCCGACCGGGAGCTGCGTGACGGGGTCACCTCGCTGATGCTTCGCAACTTGCCCTGCCGGCTCACCCAGCGGCAGCTCCTCGCTGAGGTCCACCGCACCGGCTTCGCCGGCAGGCCATTACCATTGACGCCGACATCGTCGTCGTCGTTGTCGTCGTCGTCGTCGATTTCGTCGTCGTCCTCGTCGTCGTGGACGTCGACGTCGATGTCGATGTCGACTTCGACGTCGGCGGGAGGGGGGGGGGCGAGAGGCGATGAGTTGGACGAGGAGGAGGAGGAGGAGGAGAAGTGGGAGGAGGAGGAGGAGGAGGAGTCCGGCCCAACGCGGCTCTACCGAGTGGTTGCCGCGCGGCACAGTTCCGTCGCTGTTTCGGCGATGTTCCGAGGCTGCTGTGGGCGCAGCACTTCCGGCTTGCTGTTGCGTTATTTCGTGATTGAGCTTTCATTAAGGAACAGTTCTTGTTGACCCCCCTCGCCTGTACCCACTATTGGGATTTTCGATTCAGGTCCTCATTCCGGGGACCGCATTTCCTCAAGGGGAAGTGCTGTGCCTCATACTGGGCTGTTGGCCCCCTGGTTTATAACAATAGCGGGTCCCACTTGGTATGTCCTCCAAACTTGCTGAACATCTGATTTTTGTTGTTGAGAAATCCTTACGGTGTCTTCAGGAATCGCGATCTCGCCTGGGACATCCTTACTTTTTGATGACACATCTCTCTCTCTCTCTCTCTCTCTCTCCCGGCGCACTGGAATCGCGATTTCGTGCATGACCTCCTCATACTTTAACTTTACGCAGGGTTCGCGCTCTCGCCCGAGAGTTCCTGTCATCCCCTGTTGCTAATCCCTCTTGCTAATCCCATTCGCCCTCCAGATTCTCCTTCTCTCCCCCTTGCCCCTTTCCCGCCCTTCTCTTCCCCACTCCTTTCCTCCTCGTGTTCGCCCTTTTCCATGATTCCATGGCTTCTTGTCATCCAATTTTGCTAGGGGCTGCGTGAAGTACGTGGCAGAGGAGGATCTATACCCCCCCAGCAGGGGTACAATGAATGACTCAGTTGGCGGGTATCGAGAGTGTGGGAGATACCAGTTGATTGACACGCGAGCGTATGCGAGCGAACAGCCTTAAGGAGATCATCCTAGTTGTGAAATCACTGTTGCTAAGCAACAGTGATTGGCGATCCCGCTTGGTGCCCATCGTGCTTTTCAAGTGAAGTCTCCCTCCCATGGTTCGCACCCTGGTGTAGACAAGGGAGAGTCTTGCGACTCAGATTGAGCCCCTGGCCCCCGATACTTCCTCACAAGTTACGTCATTGAAGAATCGCGTTCTCGCTCGGGACTTCTTTGCAACTTCCAGTGATCGCGCTCTCGCGTGGGACTTCCTCACAAGGTATTCAGACGCGGCGCCTCGACACTCAGGAGTCACGATCTCGCTTTGGACTTCCTCACGTTTTATTGGGGAGTCGCGCTATCGCGAGAGACTTCCTCACGATTTATGCAGGACGCACGCTTCAGCAACCCGCCCGCCCGACCCGCAGGGATGGGTCCGCCCGCCCGACCCGCCCGTCTGGTTATGTCGCTTGTCTTCAAGCTCCCTCACCCCCTTCCAATCTCTCTCGTGTTCCATCCTTATCCCTCCCCCTTCGCCCTTCCCTCCTCCCTTCCTTCCCGCATTCCTTCCCTCCTGGTTGTCTCCCGTTTCCTGCCTCCCTTCTCTCCCTGTTTGGTTGCGCCAACTACGCGTCGCAGGTACGGAAGATATGCCCCAAGGGGGCACGCTCGAAGACGGAGAGGGCGGGCATTGAGGGTTTGGGATGTAGACGTTGATTGACGCGCGAGCAGGTAAGAGCGATCATATTTAAGGTAAGTCTTGTTTGTTTCCTTGTCCCAAGGAAAAACGGATGCTTGCCCCTCCCTCCAGTGTCCCTTGCATTGTTCAATTGAATTGCCTCTCCCGGAGCTCGCACCTTGTTTGTGTCAAAAAAAAAAGTGTTGGGATTCAGACTGTGTTGTTGGCCCACAGCTTACCCAAAAACGGCTACCGCCTGATATATCTTCATTGGGAAGTCTGGGTTTCGCCAGAGGTCTCCCTTGCGACATCTGCACGAATCGCTCCTTCGGCGCTCTGGAATCTCTCGCGCTGAATTTCCCCATACTTTACTCAAGAGCTACAATTTGTTCCTGAGACGTCCTGCTCATCTCTTGCTAATCCCGCTTGCTACCCGCTCGTCCTCCATCGTCCCCCCCCTACCTCTTGCCCACTTCCCTCCACCTTCCCTTCTTCCACTCCCTGTTCTTCGCCCTCCGTTGTCCATGAGTTTTGCTTTTCCTTTTTGGAGGGTTGTGCCAATTACACGTGGCAGGTAACGAAGACATGCCCGCCACAGGGGGCCCGATCAAAGACGAAGAGGGCGGGCATCGAGCGTTAGATACCACATGCTGAATGACACGCGAGCACATGAGAGCGAACAATAGTACGATTCGTGTGGTTGTTGGTTTTGCTCACTCCTCTCTTCTCCTCTCCTCTTCCTTGCCGCCCTCTCCTCTCGCTCCCCTGGCTTGCCGGGTGCGTGCGGACGCACGGCCAGCACGTGCAGCCGCGCGAAGTCCCCGAGACTGCACCGGTGCAATGTGGCAGGGGCCCCAGATCATAGCCGCGTGCGGCCGTGTGCAAAGTTGGTGTCGTATTGGGTAGCTGCTGGCTTTCGCGGATGGCCGCAGCAGGGCGGCTTGACCGAGCCTATGAGGGGCCCGTTGCGTCCAGCCGCTCCCTGCAAAAGACGAGCCCTCGCGGGAGCACGGCCGTCGATGAGACGGCTCCCCGCGCCCCACGAGGTCCACCGTGCGGAGGAGGAGGAGGAGGAGGAGGAGGAGGAGGAGGAAGGAGGAGGAGCAGGAGAAGGAGGAGGAGGACAATCCTCGCGAGGTCTCTCGAATAGAAAGCGCGGCAGTCCTCGCGAGGGCCGCCGAGGAACGCGCGCGGATGTTTGGGTGAGTCGGAGGAAGTGGATTCTAACTTGACCCACAACGCATGTCCAAGCCCGGCATCCGAACAACCTGAAGCCACAGCGCGAAAGTCACGGCCGACCCCGCCCGCCTAACACTGAGAGGCTCCGGGCTGGACCTAATCGCTGCCTTGATGAATTTCGGCTGTGTGCTGTTTTTCGTTTTGGCAGGGAGGTACAGGAAGGCAGGTAGATCAAAACGAACAACAGAACGATCACAAAACAAAAGACAACGTCCAGCCCTGGAGAGGCGTCCAGGACAGGCGACAGCTTGCGTGAGTTGAATCCCGCGCCCGCCGCCATCTGGGTGGCCGAGCGAGTTGCGAGTTTGAGTTTGCATTCTGCGCCCAGCCGCCCCATAGAGCCTCTTCCTGATCCGCAGACTTGCAGCTACATCGGGCCGACATGAGGGTGATCCGGAAATGCCGTAGCCCTGTTGCGTTGTATAGACAAGCGTTCGGACCTCTGACGCCGACTGGCGCCACGGTGGTGTCAAGTGGCGGGGTGGCCCAATCTTTGCTACTCGGGGACAGGGATGGGGGGAACGCTGTGTTAACGGAAGTCGAGTCATTACAGCCCTCTTCCCTCGACATGCTGGATGATTTCAGTGTTTTATTCCATGTCGGGGGGATTTCAAAAAGGGGGGCGTCCCTTTCGATAGTTCTTAAGACCAGGCGACCCGCGAAGGCCTTCCACGGCTGGTCCGTGTCTCCACACGTGGGGTAAGCCTCGTCGCTGTAACGTCAGAGCCGTCGTCGTCGTCCTCGTCGTCGTCGTCCTCATCATCCTCCTGCTCCTACCTGCCTTGTGCATGGCGTAGCTGGCACTCGCTGGCGGTCATCTGACGGACATCGCATGCGCGCCATGCGGTTGGCAAGCAATAGCGCTTGCTCCTTCCTGCCAGCTCCTCTGCCCGCCGCGCCTGTCTCGCCGGAAGATGTGACTTCTGCTACATGCCGCGCGACTTCGCCTCGGGCGAGAACCAGGCACGGGGGCCCGCGCGTTGGGGGCGGGGGCCGAGCGGCAGAATGATTCTTCACGCTTCGCGTATCCCCTCGACGGGTGTGCGACTGCTCCTTTCCGTCCGCTTCCGGTTCTGTGCTTGCGTCCCCATCTGTCGGGCCGCCTGCGTCAGTCCCCAATGAGGGTCACTTTGTCCCTGGCACGTGCACTCGCTACAGCGGCCTATGCGCCTCTGCAGCCAATTATCTCGCTCTGTGGCCCAGACGTTATTCCCGCTCGCTGGATCTGTCCTTCGAGCCGCCAATCAAAAAGTATCCCCTCGACGGCTTTCGACCCACCTCGCGAGCCTGTTGACCAAAAAGTATCCCCACCAGCCCATTCAGAAGCCCTGCCCACGAGAGCTGACGGGAAAAGGGGCGAAAGGACACATCTAGGGAAACAAAGCGAGCAACCAGGATGAACCGAGAGATCTTTGGGAGCAAGGGGGTGGCCTTGGAAGGCCTCTTTGGGCCGCGTTGGGGCAAGGGGAAGAGGAGGAGGAGGAGGAGGAAGAGGAGGAGGAAGAGGAGGAGGACGAGGAGGACGAGGAGGACGAGGACGCTGATCAGGACGAGGACGAGGACGACGAGGACTAGGATGAGGACGACGCGGACGATGACTCATGGAACCTTCTAGAGGTATTATTGTGGTTGCTGCTGCTGCTGGTGCTCTCTGGGAATTTTTGGGGGCCCTCTTGGAACCCTCTTGGTAATCCGGGAAGGCTTCTTGGGATCATCTTGGATGCCATCAATGAAAGGATAGGGGGGGGGCAACTCAGTTCCCCCCTCAGGAGCCGGCAACCCGCTTCTTTGGGCTCTCTTGGAGCGCTCTTGGAGCGGTCTTGGGGCCTTTTGGAGCATCTTGGGAGCCATCTTGAGCCAGCTTGGGCTATCTGAACCATATTGGAGGACATCTTGGGCTCTCTCAGACCGCTTGGGGGCCTCTCGGGGGCCTTGGAGCCCCCTTGGAGCCCTCTTGAGGCTCTCTTGGGGCTCTCTTGGGAGCCCTGGAGCGCCTCTTGGGGCCATCTGCGAGCCTGTCGATCAAATGAGGAGATCTCCCGATCTAGGCTTCCCCCCTGGGGGCCACGATCTTCGCGAGGGGTATCAAAATTGGGCCTCCCAGGAGCCGGAATAGGGCCCTCCAACGACCCGCGACCGCCGCCGAAAAAGGCCAGGGGAGGGGGTAGGGGGAGGGGTCAAGACTCCCTCCCCGCCCGCAAGCCGTCTCGCTCACTCCCACCCGCCCTCCCAAGAGATACGTAGCACCCGAGTCTGGCTCGAGCCTCAGCATATTCAGCAGGTGTTTTTGGATGGGCAGCTACTGGGGGCCAATCCGCCGCCGCCGCCGCAGCCTCCGCCGCCGCCGCCGCCGCCGCCTCCGCCGCCGCCGCCGCCGCTGCCCGCCGCCGCCGCAACTCCGCCGCCGCCGCCGCCGTCGTCGCCGCCGCCGCACCCGCGCCGCCCGCTGCCGCCGCCGCCGCCCCCGCTGCCAAATCGCCGCAGCCGCTGCACGCGCAGCCGCTGCCGCCACCGCCGCCCGCCACCGCCGCCGCCGGCGCCGCAGCCGCCGCCGCCGCCGCCGCCGCCCCCACCGCCGCCGCCGCCGCAGTCGCCGCCACCGCTGCAGCCGCCGCAGCCGCCGCCGCCGCCAAGTGTACTCTGCAATTTTTTGTGACGGAGTTGGTGGGGGAGGCCGCATCGGGTTGGCTGCGCATGCTCCGGTTTCGGAGGAGATCATATATATATATATATATATATATATGTGTATATATATAAGTATGTAAATAGAAAGAATAATATAAAACATGGTGGGGGGGGGGCCTCATGGTTCCTGGTTGGCTACCAGCCGCCTGGGGCAGGGGGTGTTCACTAATAGGGAATAGTGATAAACTCCCCCGAAGGGGAAGAGGAGTTTTGTGGATGAGGGAACAATGACATCGTTAGACCACCTGCGCCCAATGGGCTGGTGGGAATTCTCCTCCCTGTCCCCCTCCCCCTTGCCTCTCCCCTTCCCTTCCTCTCCCCAACTCGTTTTGTGTTCCTCCCTCGCGCCTCCCTCTCGCCTCCCCCCCCCGATCTCGCGCCTCGCCCCCCCCCCGTGTCGTTCCTCGCGCCACTCGTTCTCCTCGTGTCCCCTCCCGCCCGCGCCCACGCGTTCCAGTCTCCGCCTCCGTCTCCTCCCCCGCGCCGGCCCCACTCTCGTGCACGTGCTCGCTCTCGTCTCCGTCTGTCTCGTCGTCGCGGCGCCTCCCCCTCCCTCTGCCTCGCCCCCCCTTCCGGCTGGCTCGCCCTCTCCCTCTCCCGCTCGCCTGCCCCTTGCCCCGCTCTCCTTTGCCTCGTCCCCCCCGCCCCCAGCCGTCCCTCGTCACTCCTCCCTGCGGTGGTGGGAAAAGCTTCATCCCTCCTACTATCCGTCCACCTCCCGCCTTCGCCTCATCACTTTCTGCCCCCTCGCCTGCCCCCTGGCCGCCTGGTGCCCGCGTTCCAGGGCCACGCGTTCTTGAATTTCACGTCGACCGCGGCCGCCGTGGAGTTCAACCGGGCGTGGTCCCAGCGCCCGCTGTGCGCGGGCCAGAGGATCCCAGAGAGGGTGGGAGGCAGGGAGGGGTTGGGGGAGGGATGACGGACGAGCGTTGGCGTGCGAGGCGCGACGGGGGAGGAGGAGGAGGAGGAGGAGGAGGAGGAGGAGGAGGAGGAGGAAGAAGAGGAGGAGGAGGAAGAGGAGTAGGAGGAGGAAGTGGAGGAGGAGGAGGAGGAAGAGGAGGAGGAGGAGGAGGAGGAGGAGAAGGAAGAGGAGGAGGAGCACCAGGAAGAGGAAGAAGGGCATGAGGATGAGGAGGAGGAGGAATCTCAGAAATAAGAAGAAGAGGAAGAGGAGGAGGAGAATGAGGAGGATGAGGAGAAGGAAGAGGACAGGGATGGGGATGATGATAATGATGATGTTGATGATGCTGATGATGATGATGCTGTTGCTGATGCTGATGCTGATGCTGATGCTGATGCTGATGCTGATGCTGATGATGATGATGATGATGATGATGATGATGATGATGATGATGATGATGATGATGATGATGATGATGATGATGATGATGATGATGGTGATGATGATGATGATGATGATGGTGATGGTGATGGTGATGGTGAGGAGGAGGAGGAGGAGAAGGAGGAGGAGGAGGAGGAGGAGCAGGAGGGGAGCAGGAGGAGGAGGGGAGGTGGGGGAAGGGTGATGAGGAGGAGAAGGAGGGGGGGGGGAAGGAGGAGGATGAGGAGGAGGAGAGGGAGACAGGGAGTGGGAGGAGGACCAGGAGGAGGAGGTGGGAGAAGAAGGCGGGGGGCTGGCCAAGCCTAGCCCAGGGGTGGGCTGACTCTGGGCGTCGACAGTCTTGCCTCCGGATGGTCGGGAGGAGGAGGAGGAGGAGGAGGAGGAGGAGGAGGAGGAGGAGGAGGGAGAAGGAGGGAGGAGGAGGCAGGAGGAGGAGGCAGGAGGAGGAGGCGGAGGAGAGGGATGATGGGGAGGAGGCGCGAGGGGGGGAACAGTCAGTAGGAGGGGGGGGGCTCAGCAAGACTGGACGGAGGAGAGGAGGGGATAAGCATGATGGGAGGCCGGGAAGGAGGAAGAGACGGAGCAGGTCTAGGAGGGCGGAGGGTGTGTGTGCGGAGGACGGCGATCTTGGGGGGAGGAGGGAGGAAGGGGGGGAATGATGGCGAGGAGGGAAGAGGGAAGGAGTGAGGGAGGGAGGAGAGAGAATGGGCATGTAAACAATCTCGTAGCCATACCAGATGAACGAAAAAAATTGGCCTTGAGGCCCCCTCGCCTGCACTCCAAGATGACACCCGTTAAGACCAAATCGACGCCGCCTGTGGATGGTGATCCCCACACGCACCCCTATGCAGCACGGCACTTGCAACGCAAGCACACCAGCATTGCGCGCCCACCGCGCGCGTATGTCCAAATCCTGTCGTAACCTTCAAACCGACATGTGGACACCATCATCGTCATCGATATGGCCAGCGTCGGCGCGGTCATTGACCTTGCCGCTATCATCGTTACGATCATCATTGTATCCGCCGTTGTCGACGTCACCATGATGCCGCGCCCGCCTGAGTCATCGACCCGCATTGGAGTGCCCCCGCGGCAGTGCGGCCTGTGAGACGCGACGGGGAGACTCAGCGATCAGCGCCACCGCAGGTGCGTCGGTCGCGTCAAACTACCTGGCCACTCTGCGCGAGAACTTTCGCGCGCTAGCGCGGCCGCACCGACGTGCAAGCCGGTGCCAAACAATTATCGCAATCTCCGCCGCATGGGTTTTGCAAACCAAGGCGCTGGTGGGTGGGTGGGACGACTGCGTGAGCAGTGGAGTCGGCAACTCCAAACTCCGCAAGGTGAGTTGCACAACATAGATTGCACACCATAACTATACGTTGCACCAAATTGGTTGTACAACATAGGTCGCACCACATATATTGCACCACGTATAATCAATCGCACCACGTAGATTCGCATCACATTGATTGTTCAGCATCCATTGCACCACGTATATTGCACGCTATAGATCGCACCGCGTACATTGCACCACATAGATCTCACAACATTGTTTTGACCGCGCACATAGCACCGTATACATTACACGACGTATATTGTACCACCCATACTGCACCACATATACTGCACAACGTCGATCGCACGCTATACATATGTTATACAACACGGATTGCACAACATGTATCGCACCACATCGATTCCACCAAGTAGTTAGTTCCGCACGCACTGCACTACATATTTCTGCACACCGTACACGGCTAGAAACACACGCAGTTTGGGGCCCATGGTGGGCAGCATTCATGTTCCTGTCGCTGCTCGTTCCCCAGATCCCTGATACTCTGGCTGGCCCGCAGCCCGTCCGCGCAGCCTCACCCCGCCGCGCCTGCCAGCGCCCGTCTCGCCGCCCGCGCTGCACCCCGCGGCGCCCCAGCAGCCTCGCCGAACGCTCCGCGGCACCCGCCAGGCAGCGCCACGCGGCCGCCTCCGCGCCCCCATCTCGGCCCGACGCGCTGCCGATGCTGAGGCCGCTGGGCCTGGAGCCTCACGCGGTGCGGCTCTCTTACGGTGCAGATGTCGCTGGCAGGACGTGGCAGCAAAAGTGTGCCCTGGAGGAGGGGGACGAAGAACGGCATAAGCAGAACAAGTCGGAGGTCCGCGTGGATTTCTCGGCTCCGCGCTGGACCCCCTTGGCGGCGCCTGCGGCGCCGTCCCTGGCGCGCGGAGCGCGCCAGGGAGGGGGGTCCCGCGCCGATCCGAGAAATCCGCGCGGACCTCCGAGTTTCAATGTTTATGTCGCTCTTCGTTCCCCCCGTGGAGGGCGTGCGGAGCGCAGCCCGCGGGGCGTGGCGTGATGGGGGGCGAGGCGTGAGAGGGCGCGACGAGGGGCGCACCTCTTGTGCACCTCCTGTTGGCCGCGTGAAGCGAAGCCAGCGGCCGGTGCTCCTCCTCCTACGCATCCTGGCAGTCTGGCCCCTCGGGTCCCCTCTGGAGTCTCGGGAGGGAAAACAACAACACAGGCACAATGGATCGTCGATCCCCCAGAAATGATGCGGAAATATGGGAACTGGGGGGAGACAGGAGCCCAGAAAACATGGGACAATATGGGGAGTCCTGTTGGTTGTGTGTGTGTGTGTGTTTCTTTGTGTGTCCCAGGGCCCCTTCGTGGATCTGCGCATGCAGGGGTGGCGGCTCTGGCCTCCCGCCTGCGCGCTCCGCGTCGCCTGGCGCCTCCCTCCTCCCCCCCCCCTTGTCTCCCCTTGGCCTGCCCCCCATACAGGGGAATTTTCGACGAAAAATAAAAGATACCCCAAAAATAGTCCAAAAATAGTTTGGGGACTATGTTTGGAGCATTTTTGGAGTATGTTTGGACCTTTTTAACAGCATGTTTGGGTTATTTATTTTTTTTCGTCAAAAGTTCCCCTGTAGGGGGACAGGCCCGACATAACCGTTGTCTCCCCTCGTGTGGCTGGCCACCACTCACCAGGGCTGGACCTAAAAACTGTGTTTTTGGTGATCTCGTGGGCCGTTCTCGTTTCGAGTTCGTGTTGCGGTAAAGGCGGATTCGAGACAAAAGCGAGGGAAAACAAAAACAACGACAACGAGAAACACCGTCTGGTTTCAGCCCTGACACAGACTGCAGGGAGCATGCGGCGTCGCGCGGGAGCGGTCCCTTGTTCCAATCAGCGTGCTCGTGCACACTGCATGCGCAGGCGGCAGCGCCAGGCACCGCAGTCGGCCGGCGGGCGAGGGGCAGCCATGACGCCTCCCCCGCGGCGTTCACGGGGAACGAGTCGACTAGACGTAAGAGTGACCTTTCGCCGGAGTGACCTTTGGTGCGAGCACAGATTGGCCCCCAGATGGCTGAACGCGAAGCGGTAGCAGCGGCTGGAGCGCCTGGATTTGGCCTCCCCGCGGCCCCCCCAAAGCCGCGCACCAAAGGTCACTCTTGCCCAGGGTCACCCTTACGTGCAGCCGAACGAGGCGGGGAACGAGGCGGATGGGGGAGGACGCGAGCCGTCCGGGCCCAGGCCCAGAAGGCTCTCAGAGAGGCCGCACCTGGGCGCCGCGCACCGGGGCGCCTGCCTCTGCGCCCCTGCAGCTCCCCCCCCCCAGCGCGCCCTCCTCCCAGGTGGCGCGCGGCCACCGGCATGCTCGCGCCCCGTGGCCGTTTTTGTCGCCCGCCCGCCCGGCCCCGGGCTCCGCCCCGCCGCGGCCGCGCCGCCCCCCGGGCTCGCCGCCACTCGCCGAGCGAGCCGCGCGCTGGGCCGCCGCGCCGCGCCACGGGGCGGGGGGGGTGCAGCGAGGGCTGCAGCGCAGGGGCGCCTCGGCGCGGTGCCTCCTCGCCGGGCCCTTCACGGCGTCGATGGGGGCGCGGCCCGCGCGCCCGCGGCACGGCGCCGCGCCCGCCTCTGTGGATCACGTCGCCGCCCTGCCGCCCCGCGCGGGCGCGCCGCCCCCCCGATCGTAGACGGGCGTGCCTTGCAATTTCGCGCGCGCGTGCCTTGGCCCGCCCGATGTGCAGCCATCGCCTTCGCGCGCGCGCGCGTCGTCCTCGACCTGGTGCAGCGCGGGTCGGCCGCGAGGTGGGGGCGCCGACTCGCCCCGCGCGCAGCGTGGGCCCAGCCCGCTCCTCCCACGCCAGCCCCGGCCACGAACGGAGGCGCCTGCGCCTCGCGCCGTGGCCGTGCTGCGGCGTGTGCGTGCGTGCGGGTGAGGCTCCGCTGTCCACGCCTCAGGCGCCAGACGCCGCCGCCGCCGCGCGCAGCGCCGCCGCTGCCACGGCGCCCGGGTCGTCGTCGTCGTCGTCGTCGTCGTCGTCGTCGTCGTCGTCGTCGTCGTCGTCGTCGGTCGCGCGCGGGCCTCGCTTTCCTGGATGAGGTCGCCACTCGTCGTCTGCGCGCGCGCGCGGGCGGGCGCCAGGTTCCTTGGAGGTGCCGCCGGCGTCTTCGCGTGCGCGCGAGGGCCTGGCTTCGAGCAGTGGCGAAGCGTCCTGGCTCGCCTATAGGCCCACGAAGGACTGTTCCAGGAACCCGCTGTGGTCTGCACGACATGTTCTTAGAACGTGTCTGGCCGAGACCTGTCTTGTTTCGACTCATCGGGCGTTCCGTTCTAAGAACATCGTTTTCATTTTTCGAACACTTTGTGTTCTGAGAACATGTCGTGGCAGGCCTATAGGAGTGCCGGGGAGGTCGGTCCCTGCGCAAGCGAGGGCCTGGCTCTCGCCGCACGGGTCGCCGGAAGCGTGGTTGTTTGTGTTCGGCTCCGTGTTTTTTTGTGTTCGCTCGGCCTCCAACGGCGAGGGCGTGGCCCTCGGCGTTGGAGGCCGCTGTCCTTGCCGCACTCGCGCGCACGCGCCCCCCCTCCCCTCAAGCAGTGGCGAGGCGTCCTGGCTCGCCTACAGCCCTACCAAACAATGTTCTAAGAACCTTTCGCGGTTCCCACGAAATGTTCTTAGAACATTTCTGGCTGGGACTGTCTCGTTTTAACACATCGGGTCTATGTTCTAAGAATATTGTTTTTGGTCTTAGAGCATTTTCGGGTTCTCAGAACACTTCGTGGTATGACTATAGGAATGCCCAGACGGTCGGTCCCTGCTCAATCCCCTCTCCGGTACCTTTTGTATCCCCAGGCGCGCGGCCTTCCCCCTGCCCCCCCCAAACACAAGGAGGGCGGTTTAAGTTGGGCGTGTCCTTCCACAGGAGGAATATAGTCTGGAGACGATGTTTCGACTACCGTTGATTGTTTTTTGAATATTGTTTGACTTGCGTGCATGTTTCTTCAGAATCCGCCTGTAGGAGGACATGCCCGAGCTAAGAATAAGTCCACGTCGACTTCGTACCCGCGCATTCGGGAAGGCCTGGAAGGGGGGGGGAGGGCGGTCGGACGGATGGACCACGGGCGAGCACTTCAAGCACGACCGAGGGTCACACACCATGAGAAATACGAGCATCTGTAACAACGACACTCGTGACGCGCTTCGGCGCCTGCCTGCCCTCCTCTCCCCCAGCTCCTCCTGCATCTTGTCTTAAAAGTTGGGCACGTCCCCCTACAGGAGGAAAATTCAAAAGTAGTCGGAACATCGTCTGGGGACGAGCTCTGATTCTTTCTGACTGCTTTTGAGCATGGTTGGCAATTTTCTTTGCTTCGTCCCAACTCCGCCTGCAGGAGGACATGCCCGACCTTACCCCAGCTCCTCCTGCCTCTTGCCCTCCCCCTCCCCCTGCACCTCCCCCTCCCCCTGCACCTCCTCGCCCTGCACCTCCCCCAGCCCTCCTGCCTCTCGCCCTTCCCCCTCCCCCTGCACCTCCCCCAGCTCCTCCTGCCTCTTGCCCTCCCCCTCCCCTTGCACCTCCTCGCCCTTCGCTGCGCCCGGGGCGCCCGGGGCGCCCGGGCGGTGTGTTTTTTGTTGGGGGGGGGGGGGAGGGCGCCGCTGGAGTGCGAGCGCCTCGAGGCGGCGCGCAGCCGTCGCGCGGGGGAGGAGGTGGTGGTGGTGGCGATCAGAGGAGGTGGAGGAGGAGGAGGAGGAGGAGGAGGAGGAAGAGGAGGAGGAGGAGGAGGAATACGAAAACGAAGACGCAGACGAAGACGAATAATGCTAATACGTGGTCTAAGAAGAAGACTAATACTACGAATCGTAGTAGTACTAAGAACATGATGCCAACAGTATTAATAAACGAAATATAAAAATAAGACGAAGCAGGATAATACTCATAATTTTGTATACAACAACTAGTAATAGTAGTCGTGATAGTAATGATATGAAGGAGAAAAGAGGAGGAGGAGGAGGAGGAGGAGGAGGAGGAGGAGGAGGACGGAGTGGGGGGATCGGGGGGGCGCTGGGAAACGGCTCGATGGAGCCCCAGATGTCAGGGAGGTGGGCCCCCTCGGTTGGGGGTTCATAGAGGGAGGGTTCTCCCAAGGTGGGGCTGCGGGGCACGGGCCCAGCTGGACGCTTCCATTTAACTAGTTTCCTTATTTAAGGAGCCGTTCGGAGCGATTTGTCCACCAACCCCCACCTTTGCTTCGAAATACCCCACCTATGTGCCCCCCGACTCGGGCCCAGACGTTTCAGCAGCCAGCAGTGCTTCCTAGCGGCGCTCCAGCGTGCGTTCAGCCCTTCCCCCTTCAGATGCAGTGGGGGCCCATGCCAAGAAACACCCTGCTTGCCTCCAGGGTGCCCTGGGTTTCTTCGGTTTCGATGGCTTCACCCCAGGAATCGATGCACGTCCTGGTGTCTCAGGGTTCGGGTTTCTCGTGGAAGGTTTCCTGTGGACTGGCCTCCACTGCACTTTTTTCTCGTGCTCGTCTCGTGCGCGGGCCCCTCCCCCTCCGCTTCCCCCGGGCGCGTGCGGTGCCGTCAATCTCGAGCACGGTGTTTGACTCCATGGGCTCCGCCTGCGGCCTAGCCAGCGCTGAACCAGGCCCACCAAGCCAGCAGAGCAACGAGCCTCGTCCCTACCCCCCCGCAGGCCAACCAACCTCGTCGCCCCCTCTTTCTCTCCCCCTTCATCGTCCTTCCGTCCTTCCCTCCGCCCCATCCCCCGCCTCGTTTTCGCGTTCCCCGATCCCCCTCGCACGTAGGGGGGGGAGGAGCAGGAGGAGGACGAGGAGGAGGAGGAGGAGGGAGGGAGGGCAACGTTCGACGAATGTTCTTGCCTTCAGTGCTTCAGGAGGTGGAGGAGGAGGAGGAGGAGGCGGAGGAGGGGGAGGGTGGAGGGGGGAGGGTGGAAACGAGGAGGAGGGGGAGGAGGAAGAGGGCAAACATAATGACAGTGATGATGAGGAGTGGGGGCCAGGAGGAAGGACGAGGAAGAGGATGATGATGCTGATGATGACAATGATGAGGATGATGATACGGATGATACGGATGATGATGAGGAGGAGGGTGATGATGTTGCTTAATAGATGTTGATGCTGATGATGCTACGTATGATGACGATGATATTGATGATGATGGTGATGCTGATGGTGCTGATGATGATGAGGAGTAGGGGGACGATGCTGATGCTGATGATGATGATGATGAGGAGGAGGACAGGGAAGGACAGGATGATGAGAGAAGCGCAGAGCACATTATAACGGAGGGGATGGCTACGTGGATGGTATTGCTGGTGATGGTGACAGTGATGCGAGATGCGCGATGGGTGATGTTGTGTGATGGTGATGTTGGTGCCGATAGCGATGGTGATGGTGGTAAAGATGGTGATGTTGACGATGGTGATGGTGATATATATATATATATATATATGCTGATGAAGGTGATGCTGATGATGGTGAAACTGATGCTGATGCTGATGCTGATGATGAAAATGATTCGGATGATAATGATGCTACTGATGATGCTGTTGCGGCTGATGATTATGAGTATGAATAGTTTTATGATGTCGATGGTGATGACAATGGTAATGATGATGCTGATGATGATGGTGATGATGCTGCTGATGATGGTGATGATGATGGTGGTAGTGGTGGTGGTGGTTGTGGTGGTGATGGTGATGGTGTTGGTGGTGAGGATTTTGATTTTGGGAAGTGAGGAGGAAGAGGGGGAAGAGGAGGAGAGGGAAGGGAGGAGGCCGAGGAGGAGGAGAAGGAGGAGGAAGAACAGGAGAGGAGAGGAGAGGAGAGGAGAGGGCAAGGAGGGGGAGGAGGGCGAGGAGGGGGAGCAGTAGAAGGAGGAGGAGGATGGCGAGAAGGGGGAATTAGACGTAGAGGAGGAGGGTCGGGAGTAACGGGAGGGGGAGCGGCAGAGGGGGGAGGTGGCTCCAGGACCGGCCCGGCGGGAATCGACATCTCCGTGGCCGCCGTGCAGGGGCTCGCGGCCAACGCGGCGAAGTGGGATATCCCGCGGATGAAGCGCGTGCGGAGCGGTGGGGATACCG